TTTGTAGACATAAAGATCACAGTAAAGCCACAACAGCCTCCAGCTGGCCACAACAAGCTCCAGGTGGAGGCCCTCTCTGTTGTGAGTTCTAGACTGCTAAGGTCATGAGCTTGCTGTTACATGCTACCTCTCTAGGCTGGGAAGGTGTGCCTACACCTTCTGTCTACCAGTCACTCTCTGGAAAGGATGGGGACTGGACTACCTGGAATCCTGTTGGGTCAGTCACTTCCTGATCCATAAAAAGGCAACTCTAGGAACTTTTTAACTTACCTCAAGGGCTGTTATATAAACCAGAGAGAAAAAAACTGACACAGGACCAGGCCGCAGACTGGAAGATGCAAGTGCACTCCAGTCTTGTTATTCCTGGGCTTGGGAGTGAGGGCTTGAGGGATCCACCCAACTCAGTGTCACATGACTTACCTCAGAGGAGACGCAGCTGGTGGCTGGAGCACTCTGCGCACCCTGACCTGGCACCTTGGTCTAAGTTCCTCTATGCACCAAATCACCTGTGCCTCACCAGAGTCTTGTGACAGATCTGTCTTCCCCATCTCATAGATAGAGAAGTGTGTGGTCGCAGAGGAGTGTGCTGTGTGACAGTATTCTTGAGGAGACACGAACAAATGTCTCCTCACCTCTGATGAGTACAGCTACCACCAAAGTCCAAGGTGGTGAGCCAGTCAGTGTTGTGTTCCTCTGAACCCCCTACCCCACTTTGAACCAATGAGTTTTACTGGGTGGGTGATGCAAAGGCAGCTGTACCATCAAGGTCCACCGAGCAGGGGTGATGGCTCACAGAAGCTAGTCACCTGAAGTGCACTGCACAGCCTGCAGGCCACTCAGGTGCTCTGAGCCTCTGCTGGCCAGCTTGGGTCCTGGGAGAGGCTCTCTCAGCAGTCCTTATTGATGATGCAAGCTTGGGGGTGGGGAGGAACCTAGGGAATCTAGTTAGTTTCTGGGATTTCCTGAAGCTATAAGTTGTTTACTTTCTCAGTTTAATGAGCTTCCCTCCTGTAGGATAGGGCCTTTATTCCCTGTCAACATCCTGTGCCATAACAAGCCTTCCTGCAAGATGGAAGGTTTCACCTGGGGGAAACTGCTACAGAACCGATAGACACAAGCTAGAACAGTGGTCTCAGCCACTGTCCCCCACCTACCTACCTCTCAAGAGTCAGATGCACAGTGGAGATGCCATTTGTTGGTATTTATCCACTTGTTGAATTTCCTTAATACCACCATTTTCATATAAGTTAAAGCACTCATAATACCTCAAAAGGATGGGGCAACAGCCATTGGGAATCATCCCACCTGATTCCCAGAAAGGGAATTCTGCTGAGAGACTGACTTGGATAGTAAGGCCCTGTGGCCCAGGGAGGAGGAAATGTGGAAGCCAGGGAGTAAGAAGAAACTGCTTTTCTGTGAGTATATTTGCTTGGATCAGATGATAATAATGAATGCAATAAAAATTACTACTGTGATAACCAGTCTGGAATTTCCAGTGTCTTGGAAGAAGCTCTAACTGTATATCCTGTTAGCTCAGGGGAGCCACAAGAATCTGCCTGAGGTTCAAACCCAAAGCCTAAGTCAGGCTCTCATGTCAGGGCCCATCTCAGTCATCTCAGTCATAGATGATCCTCTTGGTCAGGGTATCTCCTCCTCCTTTGGCCTCTGCTCTTCCCGGTCCCTGTAGCAAGAGACCACTCTCACCCAGTGACCCTGGAACATTCTTGTCCTACCTTTGTTGTGGCACTTCCTTGACTGCTGAGTTAGTTTAATCTTAATTACGGTGAGGGTGTGGGTCAGCTTTATGTCCGTGTATTTCTAGTATCTGCTATGAATGACTTTCCTAAATCATTAATTAACCTTTTCCTCTAGGCTGGTCCCTTACATTATATTTGTTAGTTGCGGGTTTTGATGGGTATGGTGACATACATCTCTAATTCTAGCTGAATAGGAGGACTGTGGTAAATTTTAGGTTAGCCTGGGCTACAGAGAGTGAGTTAGTGGGTTTAATGTCAGCCTGGGGTTATACAGTAAGACCCTGTCATCACCTTGCCCTTAAAAAAACCCTCAAATACAGCAAACATAAAAATACCAGTGTTTGTCTACTTGATAGCTGAGTCAGTCAGGACTAAGGCTACTTCTAGGGTAATGCTCTGGCACCGAGTCACACTCTCTTCTCTGAGATCTGGGAGAGCCAGGCAGACCACCTGAGCCTCCCCCAGGTCTTAGAGCTGTAGTTCGGTTTCTTTGCCCACCATGACAGCTGCCCTGTTGCAGTTATCCTGGAGCTTCTCTTTGTTTACCCTGCTCCTCCACAAATGTGGGGCTCTGCAAAGATTGCAATCAGCTGTGGTTACAATTACTACAGAGCCTGGGCCAGCTAGTCTTGCTTCACACTGTAAAAGGGCTGGTAGCTGGTGTATCAGTTAGGGAACCAGATCTGGATTCAGGTTCCATGTTGTAGGAGAATACCTACCTCTTTAAGTATTAGAATTCTGACTTGGAAGAGGCATATAAACTAAATTAGATATCTCTTGATCATTCATGGTCACAACTTAAATCTGTGTGTGTGTGTGTGTGTGTGTGTGTGTGTGTGTGTGTGTGTGTAAGTGCATGAGGGAGAGAATGAGGGTGATCAAGAGAGTGAGAGGCAATTTCTGGAGTGAATGTTCTAGGAATGGTTGAGACAAAGAAAACAGTTACCGTCTTCTTTACTTCATGTAGTTACACACTTACCTGTGTATTGTGTGAAGTGTTCTCCCCATCCTCCTGTAAGTCTGCCTGTTAACTTTTAGAATTAAGCCTAACTTCAGAGGCTTTAGCCCTGAGTTCTTGAGCCTCTTAAAGTACATCAACATTTGCAACATTTGTTGGATGTCTGAGGGTTTAAGGAGTGCTCACGTTCACCATCTTTATGGAAAAGTCCAGGTTGCCAAAAGGTTAAGGACCACTGTCTTGAGGACTTACAACATCAACTCCAGATGAGCCAATATTTTATACAACTAATGCAATATGGAGAAAGAAAGAGGATATAACCAGGAAGTAATCTATTATCAGTGTAACAAAAGTACTGGGATTGTAAAAAGTCAAACTGCCTAGTCCAGAGCAACCACAGCAAGCCTTTGATGAGAAACCTACAAGGGCTCCTCCACCCTAACAGGAACTCTGCTTCTATGGATCATTTGGAAAGATGCCACTGTTCTGGATGAACACAGTGGGCTCTTAAAGACATTGGGCACATTACAACGTGAGCAGAAAGGAATGAGAAGGACAAAACCACAGAATAGGACCCACAGAATCTGCAGCCTGAGGGAGGAAGGAGGGCAGCTTGGGAAGAGGGTGGCCTAGGAAAGTTTCTAGATACCTTGGGAATGTGGCCTCAAAGAGTAGGGAACAAGAGCTTCAGAATGACATGGTCCCAGAAGACAAAACGTCTTTAGAACAAGCAGTTCATTACACTGCTAAACTCAGGGTTGGAGGACGGTCTGCCTAATGACAGCTATTTTCCCTCCAAAGGCATTGGGGATTGAACCGGGAGCCCAGAACATGCGAAGTAAGCCTTCTAACAACCAAACTACAAGAACAGCCCCGTGAGCGCTACCTGAAAAGAGAAAGACACTGATTTACAAAGACATTAGAGATCCGGGCTCTGAAGAGGCTGAAGGGCAAGCTCTGAATGCAAACTGGCTACTGGGCATCCACTGTATCTACTCCTCAAAACCAGGGCATCACCCGAACTTGGGTCAAATAGATGAAATAAATGCACAATATCCCAATCCTCACACAGGCCCTCCTCAATTCTTCATCACTTTCATATAAGGTAGGTAAAAACAAAACAAAACAAAACAACCAACCAACCAACCCACTACAACAACAGAAAACAAGCTTCAAGCCTAGCCAAGAAGGCAATACGTACCCAGGCTCTATGGAGTCTGAGGTCTCTGGTCACACTGGACTTTTGAGCAGATGAGAATGCCCAGCCAGGGTGGAGGTCTTTAATACTCTCTTTTTTTCCCCCTTTCAGTTTCTCTCTTTTTTTTTTTTTTTTATAAGTCTATTGTCTTGCTTTCCTGCCTTCCCCACCCTTTCAGTTTCCTTCATTGAGAGGTTTCTTAGAAATCACTCAGGTTATCAGAAACAGTTTAGCCACTTGGCCAGCTTCCTTAATTAGCAAGTCCAGTCAGTGGCTGCTTGGGCTGGGGGAGGAGGAGGAGAAAAGAGGGGGAAGTTCAGACCAATCAAACTCTCAAGATGCCAGAGCTACTTGCCATTGCATCAGCTGTCCCTTTCTTCAGGCTGACCGCCATGTGACCTCCCCACCCTCTTCCTTTCCTGCCCCCACGCCCACAACATCATTGCAACTGTTTGTAGTGTGGCGACAGAAGGGGCGGGCAGGTCAGCCTGTACATTCCCTGAGGCAGTTCTGCTCTGAAGTGGTGCACTGCAGCGGAAAGATAGGAACTCCGAGCTCACAGAGCACCAGCTTTTAATGTTGGGTATAGTAAGCTTGCTATGAAACCTGGGCAAGCAGCGTTACTTCTCTGTTTCTCCCTCGGATTTCTCATCTATGAAATGCGCTTTCTTAACACTTCGTGGAGGGGACTGCTGGCGATCCTACAGGGCAAAGCCCAGGCGGTAGGAAACGATGACAGGCTGGGTGGGCGGCGCCGCCGCCGCAGCCTCCTCTCCCCACGCGGTGCTGGTGCCTAGCTAACAGCGAGCCTGGTTCAGAGCTGGACCCTCTGGGCTCGGCGCTTGGGAAGCAGCCCAAGGCCCTGGCGCCACCTTGGCGTCCCTACCTCGCTCCCGGCGCAGTGGCCACCCTCTTCTCACTCAGCCGGCCCCCTCCAGCCACACCAGTCAGCACCGTGGGCTCAGCTACTGGTACCTCCTGGGCGTCCGTGGAAACACCATCCGACCGGAACAACTTCCGGTCCTGGCATAACGCCATTGGCTGTCCATCCAGGGGCGGAGCAGAGCACGTATCTGATTGGCTGAGGTCCCCGGCTTCGTGGTGGAACGCGACTGGGTGGCCCGAGTTCTGGCCGGACCGCTGTAGGGGTGTACTGAGCGCTTCCGTGTGTGTGGTGAGCGGCGGGCCGGGGCGGGAGGGGGCCGGGACCTGGCGGCGGAGTGCTTCTGTCTTCTTAGCGCAGGGCACAGTTCGCCGCTCGCCTTCCTTTTCTTCCCGTTTCTCCCTAGAGTGCTGTGCTCTGAACTCTTTATCCATTACTGTTGACAGCTTGGCTAACTTCTTCATCCTTCAAAACCCGGGTCTGGTGTTATCTTTTTGTTTCCCTTCGTGGATCTGTAGCCTCCGGGGCAAGATCCCGTGTTTTAATTTCTGCCCACGTCAGATCCAGCATAGAGCTAAACACAGAGTAGGAAACTAGGATTTGTTTGTTGAACGGGAAAAATCCTGTCTTTCTTAACTTCCTTAGCCCCCTGTCCCACCAACTTGTAGTTTACAAATACGACTAGATTGAGGATTCTTGAACAGTGAGAAAAACACGTAAAAAACCTGCCCTACATATCTGTGCCCCCTTTAGTTTTGTTTTTGTTTTTTTTCCTTCAGTCCTATTACCGTTTTCCCCATTTAGCCTCTTCCTGTTGGTTTCATCATGCCCTCCTTTCCCAAGGCATTTTTATCAAGTTGTAACCATCACCTCCTAAATTGTGAGCATTCCCCTCAGCTCTCAGCCGGCTTCCTGAATCATGTTTTCCTGAATCATGCTTGACTCCTCCCGATTGTCATTGGTTCTGTTGTTTAGTCTCAGCACTGTGATCACCTTGGTTCACTCAACCTGTCCAGAGTGTCACACAGGTATAAGTCTCCACCGAGGCCTGTCCGCTCCATGAAAAGATGAAGTCCTGGGCCCAGCTGCCCTACTCGAGTTTCCTTTTCTCCTTTTGAGTTCACATGCCATGACATCTGGGTCACTAATGGATGTATATGTCTCCCTATGGCTTGAGAGTGCTGAGTAAAGGGCATCATTTACTGTTTTGCCTGCTGTGGCAGATGTTGAGTGCGTGAATGAAATGTCCATGTGGTGCAGTGTGCATCAGGCATCTAGGTTCTTGCAGTCATGCCAACGTGCTGGGTGGAGCTGAGGGGCCACACTATGCTCTGATCTGCCTTAGGCCTCTCTGTGAGTCCACCTTGCAGGTAACTGTGTGGCTGTAAATTCCCGGCTTGTAATTGAGCTTTATGTAGCCCGGTGGTGAGAATCTGATGGGTTCCATTTGAGGAACCAGGAGATTGGCCTCAGATCCCTGCTGAATATGTAAAGATCAAATTATTTGTAGAGCATGGTTCTGTTTGTGTGTAATTAGTCCTCAGTGTGATCTTAGTTTGGTTGGAGAGTGGATGGCTAGTTTTAGAAGTTCTTTTTAGATCGTGACTTTAAATGTGGATGTTGTTACTTGCCTGGGTTCAGCTGCTGGTGGGAACGGTAATTACAGACATTGAATGACAACAGACTTGTATGGCAGTAGAGTTCTTAGATGAATAATGTCATTAGGAGATAGATATGGGCTTGGGTGGGATGTTGCAACCCAGTGTATGACCTGGCATCGTGATGTTTACCTGTAATCCCAGCACTCAGAAGGCTGAAGCAGGAAGATTGTAGAATAGACTACCCTGGATTACAGAGTGAGACTTTGTCTTAACAGAATGGGGCTAGAGAGGTACCTGTTAAGAGCACTTACTTTGAAATCATGAGGACCAAAGTTCAGATCTCAGCACCCCTCTAACAAGCCAGGCATTACACACTTGCCTGTAACCCAGCCCCTAAGCAGACAGGGACAGGGAAACCATACCTCAAAGAAATGGGTGGAAAGTGAGAAGAGGACACAGGATTCCATTTTCTGTGCCTCTTGTATATAGGAGCACAGGTTTGCACATGCCCTTACGTATGGGTACATTCACACAGTACACATACAAATAAATACAAGAGCAAGCTGGTCCATGGCCCGGGCTTGCACCCTGTCCCTCCCTGCCCTCTGCTGGCTGTGATATGCTTAGCGTCTTTATTTTCTTCCTGCCTGTACTGGCTGTTCTCTTCATGGAATTAAAATACTGAATTCTAGATCCAAGCATCTCTCTCTCTCTCTCTCTCTTTAAGATTTTTATTATTTATACAACATTCTGCCTTCACAGCAGATCTTCCTATAGATGGATATGAGCCACCATGTGGTTGCTGGGAATTGAACTCAGGACCTTTAGGAAGGTGAGTGTTCTTAACCTCTGAGCCATCTCTCCAGCCCTCAAAGCATCTCTTACTGAGAACTAGCTGATAATAATTTGTGATGATGGCTCAGAATTCCAGGAAGAATCTTTAAATGAAATCCAGTACTTCTTGAACCTGTGTATTTGGGGTGAAACAAACAAATTTGGATGGCATGATCAGAATTCCTTTTGCCATACTTGGGTAGACTGGTGCCTGAGGACCCAACCCTGGGCTTTGTGCATGCCAGGTAGGTGCTCTGCTGTTGCTGTACTTCTCCAGAAGTATGTTTTTAAAGACAGGGTCTTGCTATGCATCCTAGAGTGACACTGAATTCATAACACTCCTGCCTCAGTCTCACGAGTGTTGGGCTCACAGGTGGGTGCCACCATACCTAGCCCATTGTTGTTGTCTTCCTCTTCTTCTACTTTTTTCTTCTCCTTCTCTTCTGCTTTGCAGTGCTGAGGGGCAAACCTAGAACTCTGCATGTGTTAACCCTGCATGTGTTAAGAGTTCTGTCAGCAAGCTTCATCCCAAATATCCCATACAGGTTTCTATTTAAAAAAATTGTATGTTCAGCCAGGTAGTGGTAGTGTATGCCTTTAACCCCAGAACTTGAGAAGCAAAGGCAGGCAGGTCTCTGTAAGTTTAAGGCCAGCCTGGTCTACAAAGCAAGTTCCAGGACAGCCATAGCTACACAGAGAAGGCCTGTACTGGACTTTATTTTTTATGTATTCTAACTAATTATGTCTACTGAATAGGAAATTCATTTATTTTTAAATATTACCGAGGTTTTTATATATTCTTTAACATTTAAATTTGGGTTAGCATATGTATCTCCCCAAAGATCATTTCCTTTTAAAAATATTTATTTATTTATGTGATGGGATGAGGGCATGCATGTCAAAGCACACTTGTTGAGGTCAGAGGACAACTTTTATGAGTTGGTTTTCTCTTTCCACCATGTAGGTTCCAGGGCTCAAACTCCGGTCTTCAGGTTTGGCAAGCAAGCACCTTTAATCTACTGAGTCATCTTGCTGGTCCAAACATCATTTATTTTTTACTTTTCCTCTTTTTAAAAAAAGGTATGCTTTCAGGCTGGGTATGGTAGTACATACCTTTAATCCTATTACTCCAGAGGCAGAGGCAGAAGCAGAGGCAGGTGGATCTCTGTGAGTTTGAGGTCAGCCTGGTCTACAAAATGAGATCCAGGAAGCAAGAGCTGTTACATAGAGAAACCTGTCTTGAGAAACCAAACCATACCAAACCAGCCAACCAAAAACAAACCCAAAAGGTATGCTTTCTATTTTTAATTATGTGTGTACATATATTGTTGGTGTGTGGGTATGCGTACATTAGTTCAGGTAGTCATAAAGGTCAGGAATCCTGTTGAATCCTCAGAAACTAGAGCTACTATTGGTTGTGAGTTACCCAAGGTAGGCGGGAAACTGAATTTGGATCCTCTGGAAAAGCACTGCATTCTGTTAATCACTGAGCCATCTCTCCTGCCCCAAACATCATTTCTTTATGTTGAGATATCTAAATTTTTTTTTTTTTTAGCTCTTTTGAAAATGAAACCTTTGTTCTTTATGTGTTTGTGTTGGCGGAGTTTGAAGTCTTTGACTTTCAAGAGAACATTCTGCTCTGAAGTACAGAACTATTCTCCCATTCACAGTTGCTGACTCTTGACCTTGTTTAGTTCTAGGAAGTCACCTTTGTGTGTCCTCATGGCCTCGCTGGTGGCCTATGATGATTCTGACTCAGAGACTGAGACGGAACCCGCCAGAAGCGTGACTGCCGCAGGCCAGAAGAATGGTGCCTCTGGTGTGACCAGACTTTCTTTGAAGGGTTTTGCATCTGGTACAGTGGATGTGACAAAAGAGGGGGCACAGCACACAGGGAGCAGTCCTGATAAAGATCCAGATGAAGACCCCGGGGAGCAACGCCTGCCGCTGGCTCGGCTCTGGAGATGTAACCCAGGGTCTTGTCCCAGCCAGAGGCTACAGTGGCCCTCAAAGGAACCTGGTACCACCTTCCCCACCAGTCACCCTCCCTGCCCTTCTCTGTGGATGAGCCAAGCTCCAGCCAGCCATGTGCCCCTGGCAGCTGCCTGCTTAAAGCCAATGAAACCTGCCTGGGATGCCCTCAGCTCATCTCTTCATGTCCAAAGCAAAGTTGAAAGCACCATTGGAAACACCAGCTCTTCTCAGAGGAAAAGGGGCGAGGACTGTGTGGCTCCCTATATCCCCAAGAGACTGAGGCAGCTACAGGCACCGAATCCAGAAGCTAGACAGGGCAAAGATGTAAAGCCCCTGGGATCCCCTTCACAGTGTGCCGCAGCTCCCCTCTGTGTGGCTCCCACAGTGTCAGAGTTTATCCAGCCATATTTGAACAGTCCGTACAGAGAGACTACGGTCCCCACGAAAGTGCTTTTCCACCTCCGAGGCCACAGGGGCCCTGTGAACAGCATTCAGTGGTGTCCAGTCTTTAGTAAGAGCCATATGCTTCTCTCTACTTCCATGGATAAAACCTTCAAGGTAAGATGAGGGAAAACAATTCTCAGTGGCTGTTAGGAGTAGGGTCAGGCAGGCAGCAGGTGGGCACAGGCTACTTAGTCCCTTTTGGAAATGTCTGTAATTCTCTTTGGTACATTTGACAGAGAGAGAGAGCGCTCTGTGCTCAGCCTCAGCTCTTTGGTCTTTGATGTTCTGTTTCTTCCAAGTGCTCCCTTGCTCTACCATGGCAGTGTTACAGTATGACCAGACGATAAGCATTTTGCAATTATATATATATAATATAAATATATTAATATTTAAATTATATATATATATATATATATATATATATTTTTTTTTTTTTTAAATTTGAGACAGGGTTCTCTGTGTTGCTTTTTCCTGGAACTTGCTCTGTAGACCAGGCTGGCTTTGAACTTGTAGAGATCTGCTTGCCTCTGTCTCCCAAGTGCTGGAATTAAAAGTGTGTACCACCACCACTCAACATAATACATTATTTTAACCCAAGTATGCCATAGTTCATTTTCTTTACTGTTGTTGGACATTTTGTCATCTTCCAGTAGCATATTCCCACGAACTACATTGCTGTAAGCATGCTGCTACTTATAAATGTCCCTGCCAGACCCTGGTATTTATTTAGAGAAGGTGCCCCAAAGTAGTCCAGGCTTGGTTATCATGCTTATAGCCCCTACTCAAGAATGGGCGCAGTGTAAGAGTCACATCTCTCCACAGGCCACAGTACCAAGTATCATCTCTTTCAATCTTTTGCTGATAGGATCTGATGCCTCTTCTTGTTTCCTCCTTGAGTCTTGGTGAGGCATGATCAGCACTTGAGTTTTGATAATCTAGTTTTGGAGACTTATTTATTTATGTATTTATTGAGGCAAGGTCTCTGTGTAGCTTTGGCTGTCTTGGAACTTGCTATGTAGACCAGGCTGGGCCCAGACTCACAGAGATGTCTATTTCTGCCTTCTCTGTGCTTCATTTAAAGGGCATGCACCATCACACTTAGCTAGCTTTGGAGATTTTAAAATCAAGCAACAACAAACAAGCAAGTCTGGGGAAATGGCTTGGTCAGGAAAGTGCTTTCTTTGCAAGTATGAAGACTTGAGTTTGGATCCCTAGAATCCAAGTAAAAAGTCTTGCAGGGTGGCATGTACCAGCTGGATTCCTGGAGGTTCAGGGGTCAGATAGTCTGCTCCAACTGGCAAAGTTCCAGGCCCATTAGAGACCCTATTTTTTTAAAAAATATATATTATTTATTTATTTTTGTTTTATGTACATTGGTGTTCTGCCTGCATGCATGTCTGTCTGTCTGTGTAAGGGTGTCAGAATTACAGATAGTTATGAGCCTTCATGTGAATGCTGGGAATTGAACCCGGGTCCTCTAGAAGAACAGTCTACAGTACTCTTAACTGCTAAGCCATCTCTCCAGCCCCCAGGAGAACCTATTTCAAATACAAGGTAGAAAGTTCTTGAGGACTGACATGCGTGTGTGTGACATGGGATACATACACACACACACACACACACACACACACCACACGAGAGAGAGAGAGAGAGAGAGAGAGAGAGAGAAACAGGTAGAAGAGTTCGATGTTCTATTGCCTATGATGTTAGAGAAATTAGACATCTGTTTTTATCTGCAGTGTGTGCAGTGTGATTTTGTTTTGTTTTGAGACAGGCTCTCATTGTGTGGCTAGCCCTGGCTGGCTTGGAACTCTATATAGGTCAGACTGTTCTCAAAGGCAAAGAGATCTGCTTGCCTCCGCTTTTTGAGTGCTGAGTGAAAGACATGTGTCACCATGCCTAGCCATGCAAAATTTTAATTAGCCATGTTTAATTTAGCCATGTTTAATTCCAGCCTGTAGCTTCAACTTTTGGCCATCAGAATAAATAAATGAGATATATGGAACAAATAAGCTCTAGGGGTCAAATACAAATATTAACTGAGCTGAACTACAGCCTCCTAGGAAGAACACGGCTTCCAGCAGCCTGCACACAGTGGCTGGCCTCTGGCCTAAATGGGCCTCCCTCTGAGTCTTGTCTGAAAAAGGGACTCTCAGACCTGTGTCACATGAAGTGTGTTTTAAAAAGCACATAATGTGGTGGTGGTGGTGTTCAGTTAGTAAAGGGCTTGCAAACACGAGGACCTGAGCCTGATTCCCAGAATCTACATAAAAAAGGTGGGTCATACTTAAAACACCAGTGTTAGGTCAGTGGAGAGAGGTGGGTCCTTGGGGTTCTCTGGCCAGCCAGCCTAGCTTAGGTGGTGAGGTCCAGGCTGGCGAGAGACTCAGTTTAAAAAACAGTGCTGGTGCCTGTCCTTAAAATTAGGGTTACTATTGCTGTGATGAAACACCAAAAACAAGCTAGGGAGGAAAGGGTTATTTGACTTACACTTCTGCATAGTAGTCATCATTGAAGGAAGTCAGGACAGGAACTCAGATAGGGCAGGAACCTGGAAGCAGGAATTGATGCAGAGGCCGTGGAGGGGCCTCTTACTGCCTTGCTCTCATGGCTTGCTCAGCCTGCTTTCTTATAGAAACCGGGACTACAAGCTCAGGGGTGGCACCATCCACAATGTGCTGGGTCTTTCTCTATCAATCACTGACTAGGAAAATGCCCACAGGCTTCCCTACAAGTATATCTTAGGGCAACATTTTCTCAGCTGAGGTTCTCTCCTTTCATATGAGTCTAGCTCGTGCCAAGTTGACATAAAACTAGCCAGCACAATGCCTGAAGAACAACAACTTGGGGCTGGAGTGATGGCTCAGCTGCTAAGAGCACTGGCTGCTGCTCTTCCAGAGGATCCAGGCTCAATTCCCAGCACCCACATAGCAGATCACAACTGTCTGCAACTGTCTGCAACTGTATCCGACACCTTCATATAGACATTTATGCAAGTGAAACACTGCTGTATGTGAAATAGAAACAAATAAATAAAGAACAGTTAAAGTTGTCCTCTGACTTTCACATGCATGCCCACATAAACACATGTGAAGCTAGCTGCACATGCATGCATACCTACATACACACACAACTACAAAAAAACCACCACAAAAAACAAAATCCCTATTGCAGAGCTGGACCCCGTAGGTGTTCATGCTGGCCTCAGCCCATTCTCCTAAGCATTCTCAAAAACTACTTATCTGCGGATTATGTTTTGAGCCCCAACCCACCAACCCAGGAGGCATTTTCTTAAGTGAGGGAAGGAATGCTTAGCAGTGAGCTATGTCTGTGGGTGCTAGTGTTGGATGAACACTTAGAGGTCACGCAGGAACTCCTGTGCTTGGCTCCAGCAAGGCTGATGTGTTCTGCTCAATTCTTTGAGCCAGGCTCTGGTGCTTCTGCAGTGCTGGGCCATGTAATCAGTGTGAGCAGTGTTCAGTGTCCTGTGGTGGCTTGTGACCTTCTTGGACTGACCCAGAGTCCTGGTCTCTCAGTTTTTTTACCCTGAGCGTGATGCACAGAGGCCAGCAGGGCAAGGATCCTGTCTGAGGGTTTCAGTTGGGCCCAGGTTCCTGGCAGTGTCTGGCTGGCTCTCAAGGTCACAGGATAGCTCTTGTCTTTGAGCTCACCTGATTGTTGGACTTCTTTCCTCTTTTGTCCTTTCTTCTCTAGGTCCTTCCGTTTTTGCTTCTTGCTTGGCCAGTTTCTACTGAGCAGTCAAGACCCAGCTCAGAACTAGACTGATGAACAGTATTTTTCTAGTCTGTGGTCTTGGGTTGGGCAGTCTGTCAGGAGCAAGAGATGCACTGAGCCAGATGGATGGTCCTTCCTATTGGAAACCAGACAGTTGACAAGCTGCTTTTATAGCTAGCCTTCCTTCTTCCTACATTTCCCTGTGCACTGTTCAATTTTGAATGCAGAGGTCTCTGCCTTTTGGATGAGCCTGGAAGCAGCCTGGACTCCTTCCCCAGCCCCTCAGGACTAAGGGTGAGAGGCAGCACTCAAAGTGTGGAGGGACTTTACAGCGGACTGGCTCTCCTGAAGCTTTATGCCCTTGACAAGGCCTCAGGCTTCTCTAGTAGAACAAATACCTACATGAGCTGTGTCCACAGTGTCTCCTGTGCTCATGGCCCCTGGTAGCTGTGGTTCTAGAGTGGGCACTGCAGTCATGTCTCTGGGCTGCTAGAGAGAGGGGAGGGCAGCCTGGCAGATGTGGGGAGCACAAGCAAGTAATGTGGGAGGTGTTGCCATGGCTATCGCGTCTTAAGCCTATGATGCTGCCTCATGGAGAGGTCAGAAGTGTTCTCATGGGTGCCCACAACTCTGCACTGATGGGAGGAGGCAGACCTGAGCCCTGTGGAGTTGGTCTGTACCTGAAGACCATAGTCGCAGCTTGGCTACCCTGGGTCATTACTGACAGGAAATTCCCATTTCTTGAACAAACACTGTAGGCATCCCTATTGCTTTTTGAGGTTTTTGGTGCTGGGGGCTTGAGTTCAGGACCTTGAGTATGCAGGCAAATGCTCTACCACTGAGCTATATTCCCACCCCCATAATAATCGTGTGTGTGAGCACGTGTGTATGTGTACCTGTTTATGTGTGTGGAAGTGGAGCACAGAGGACAGCTTTGGATATTGTTCCTCACATGCTCTTTTTGAAATAAGGTTTGTCACTGTCCTGGAACTTGCCATGGAGGCTATGTTGGCCAGCTGTTGTGTCTCAGGGATCCACCTATCTCGGTTTCCCCAAAGCTGGATTACAAGACTGTATGACTGCACCTGGTCTTTTCACATGAATTCTGGGAACTGAATCCCTTCCTTCCGCTTGTGAAGCAAGCACTTTATAGGTCCAGTCATCTCTACTCCCTACATCCTGACCATGGCGACTTAAAAACAATTATTTACTTATTAATTGTATGTGTGTTGTGTATGCTACAGTACATGTGTGGAGGTTAGAGGATAACTTCGGGGAGTCAGTTCTCCTTTCACTATGTCACTTCTGGGCATTGGGCTTGGTGGCCAGTGCCTTTACTTGGTGAGCCATTTTGCTCACCCCAAAGATTTTGTTCTTTT